TCTGTAGTTCTTCAGACACTCTATCAGATCTAATCCCTTGAATCTATTTGTCACTTCCACTGTATAATCATAAGGGATTTGATTTAGGGCATATCTGAGTGGTCTAGTGGTTTTCCCTACTTTCTTCAATTTAAGTCTGAATTTGACAATAAGGAGTTCATGATCTGAGCCACAGCCAACTCCTGGTCTTGTTTCTGCTGACTACATAGAGTTTCTCCATCTTTGGCTGCAAAGAATATAACCAGTCTGATTTCGGTATTGACAACCTGGTGATGTCCATGTATAGAATCTTCTCTTGTTTTGTTTGAAGAGGGTGTTTGCTATCACCAGTGTGTTCTCTTGGCAAAACTCTATTAGCCTTTGCCCTGCTTCATCCTGTACTCCAAGGACAAATTTGCCTGTTACAAGTATTTCTTGACTTCCTGCTTTTGCATTCCACTCCCCTATAATGAAAAACACAACTTTTTTGGGTATTAGTTTTAGATGTTCTTGAAGTTCTTCATAGAACCATTCCATTTCAGCTTCTTCAGCATTACTGGTCAGTGCATAGACTTGGATTACTGTAATACTGATTGGTTTGCCTTGGAAATGAACAGAGGTCATTCTCTCATTTATGAGGTTGCATCCAAGTACTTCATTTCGGACTCTTTTGTTGACTGTGATAGCTACTCCATTTCTTCTAAGGGATTCTTGCCCACAGTAGTAGATATAATGGTCATCTGAGTTAAATTCACCCATTCCACTCCATTTTAGTTTGCTGATTCCTAAAATGTTGACATTCACTCTTGCCATCTCCTGTTTGACCACTTCCAACTTGCCTCAATTCATGGACCTAACATTCCAGGTTCCTATGCAATATTGCTCTTTATAGCATTGGACTTTACTCCCATCACCAGTCACATCCACATCCAAGTGTTGTTTTTACTTTGGCTCTGTCTCTTCATTCTTTCTGGAGTTAGTTCTCCACTGATCTCCAGTAGGCTACTGGGCACCTACGGACCTAGGGAGTTTATCTTTCAGTGTCCTATCTTTTTCCCTTTTCATACTGTTCATGGGGTTCTCAAGGCAAGAATACTGAAGGGGTTTGCCATTCCCTTCTCGAGTGGACCACGTTTTGTCAGAACTCTCCACCATGACCCGTCCATCTTGGGTGGCCCTACATGGCATGGCTCATAGTTTCATTGGGTTAGACAAGGTTGTGTTCCATGTAATCAGATTGGTTAGTTTTCCGTGACTGTGGTTTTCAGTCTGTCTGCCTTCTGATGGAGAAGGGTAAGAGGCTTATGGAAACTTCCTGATGGGAGAGAATGACCAAGGGGGAAACTGGGTCTTATTCTGATGGGTGGAGCCATGCTCAGTAAATCTCTAATCCAATTTTCTATTGAAGGGCGGGGCTGTGTTCCCTTTCTGTTATTTGACCTGAGGCCAAACTATGGTGGAGGTAATGAAGGTAATGGGACTTCCTTCAAAAGGTCCCTTGCACACACTGCTACACTCAGTGCTACCAACCCTGAAGCAGGCCACTGCTGATCCATGCCTCTGCCAGAGACTCCTGGACACTTACGGACAAGTCTGGGTCAGTCTCTTGTGGGGTCACAGCTCCTTTCTCCTGGGTCCTGGTGCACATAAGTTTCTGTTTGTGCCCTCCAAGAGTCTGTTTCCCCAGTCCCGTGTAAGTCCTTTTGGCTCTATTGTGGGGTTAATGGTGACCTCCTCCAAGAGGGTTTATGCCGTACCCAGCTCTATTGCACCCAGAGCCCTGTATTTCCGTTTAAGGGTAGGGTAAGAATTAACAAATGGAGATCTAATTAAATGTTAGATAATGATAAATTGTGTGAAGAAAAAGAAAGCAATAATAAGGAGACAGAGTGATTGCAGTGATATCTTAGATAAGGTAGTCATGGAAGGTCCCTCTGAGGTGGTAGAAGAAGTGACATTTGAACAGAAACCTAAATGACCAGAGGAGGAAGCCACACAAATGTCTAGGAGGAAGAGTCTTTTAGACTGATGGAAAGGCAAATGCAAATGCTCTGAAGAGGAGCATACCTACACTGCTAGAGGCATAACAAGGAAGTGAGTGTGGCTGGAAAAGTGTGTGGGAGAAGAAAACTGGAAGAAGGTAAAATAAGAGCATAAGTGAAGTGAAGTCGTTCAGTCCTGTCCAACTCTTTGCAACCCCATGGACTGTAGCCTACCAGGATCCTCAGTCCATGGGATTTTCCAGGCAAGAATACTGGAGTGGGTTATTTCCTTCTCCAAAGATAAGAGCATAGCCAGGGATCAAATCACAAAGAGGTGAAATCATGTATAGACAGCTTTGTATTGTTGTCCCTCATTTAAGCCCACTGAACATAATAGAGCTGCAGTTTGAAGAATGGAACCCATAGTCAGCAGAGTAGGGACAGTAAGCAAGTGCTAGTCATTCAGTTATGTCTGACTCTTTGCGGCCCCATGGACTGTAACCCACCAGGCTCCTCTGTCCATGGAATTCTCCAGGCAAGAATACTGAAGTGGGTAGCCATTCCCTTCTCCAGGGGATCTTCCCAACCCAGAGATGGAACCAGAGTCTCTTGCATTACAGGCAGATAGTTTACTGTCTGAGTCACCACATATCCCAAAAGAGACAACAATTTTGAAGCAAAGACATGAGTACTAAAGAGGTTAAGAGTATGAATTCAAATGTCAGCTCTGCTGCTTCTAGCTCTACCTTATTCACCACTTCTCAACCAATAAATAGAGTGTAATCATTTGCTACATCCCATGCTCTGTCTCTAGGAAACCTAAGATCACGTGAAGGTGGCTGCATCAATAGAGCGCAGCAGATGTAGCCAAGCAGAAGGTCCTTGACATCTACTATTAAATGCTGAATAGAGTATTAGAGTGGAGATGTAGGAGAGGGGCAAGAGTAAGAAGCAAAAAGACTAAAACAGATGGAAAGAGGGAGATGGGGTAGGCTCTATAATTTAACCAGTTCTTGGGTAGGGATTTTAGTTACCAGTAAGAAGTGGTATACTGTACAACCTCAAACTTTAGCATGTATCGCAGATTGCTGGGGCCCACATCCAGAGTTTCTGATATGGTAGGTCTGGGGTGAGGTTTCAAAATTTTCTAGTTGCTAGGTGATGCTGATGCTCAGCTGGTGAGAGAACCTCACTTCAAAAATTAATACTATGGTTGGTGCCAAATAGAGCAAAAATGGAAAATTCAGTCAACCTGTTTCTTTGTTCATGCACTGACTAATAGCTGGAGTGTTTATCTCTTAGCACTGATCAAACTGGTTGTTTATGTTCCTGTACTTCAATGTTATTTGAGGGAGAGAGGCAAAGAGTTGTGAGTTTAAAAACTGCTGTTTAATATAGAAAAGAGACCATTTGGTGCTTGGAAAATATTGCTAGGTTCACTAACTTACACTGTTCTATTAACCCATTATTATCTATCATTAAGCAAGAGAGTGAAAACAGTATATATCTATCCCATATTCTCTGCTGGTAAGGGTATGAGAAGACAAGGCTTTTCATATTCTGTACATATTCTATACAGTAACTTATCAATATGTGTAACATTCTAAATATTCTAATTATAATAAGTACCATTTTGTTTAGCAATTATACTTCTAGAAAATGATCATATGGAAACAACTGGGATATATTGCAAAGATATAGTTACATGGATGCTCATCACAAGTTTAATTTATAAAAACTCAAACTAGAAACAGCCTAAATGTCTAGAAACTGAACTGAATAGACACTGTGGAAAGCTTTGCTGTGGAGGAAATCGTAGAGTCAAGAAAAGAAATATGGAGGTAGATATTACAGCTGTTACATGTGTGTCTTGGCATTTTGTGTTTTCTAAAATTTCTTCAATGAACATGTATTGCTGTTGTGATCAGAAGAAACATTCTCTTTCCACTTGATGCAAATTACAAAGCTTATAGATTGTCATTCTCTATATTCAAAATTAGGAATTTGCAGCTTTTGCACTTTGCTACAGCAAAGTTGCGTTTAGTTGCTAAATTGTGTCTGACTTTTTGCAATCCCATGAACTGTGCCATGCCAAGCTCCTCTGTCCATGGGATTTTCTACACAAGAATACTGGAGTGGGTTGTCATTTCCTTCTCCAGGAGATCTTCCCAGACCAGAGATCAAATCTGTGTCTCCTGCATTGGCAGGAGGATTCTTTACCACTGAGCTACCAAGGAAGTCCCATGATCTACACACCTTAAATCAAAGTGATGTCTGTTTTGTTTCTCAGCATAATACCATTAGTAAAAGAATCTTTACCATCTGTTAATTTGGTTTAGAATGCGATGCTTTAAATGAGCCAAATTAGAACTCAACTTATATATTTCCATACTGAATTCCATCTTTCTCTGCACAAACAACTATTAAATACAAGGACAGACATTATGAAATTAAGCTAAAAACCACCAGCATGGTGCTTACCAAATAATTGCAAATGGATTTCTCAGTGTACTTTAACAACAGGCTTAGCTGGAAGGCTGAGGTTCACGTTACACTTTGAACAGATGACGTTAAAATTAACTCTTTAATAATCTGTATCAAGATCATTATTACTTTGGACCTCAAGTATCAATGGACAGGAAAAAAAAGTCACATTTCTTTTTAAATTTTATTAACTTAATGTATTCACAAAACAATGACAGTAGAAGAGTTTAACATTAATATAAATTCATGTCAAAAGTAAAAACATGAATTCCTAAGAAAAAAAAGTAAAAACTCAGATACAAATTTAGCATTCTAATAATTAAAGAATAGAATTCTGTCTACTGACTTTGAGGCACAGACTATTTAGTTACAGAAGATATCAATTACCTTATTCTATTGTCAATATAGTCTACTTAGGATTCATCTATGTGTTCTAGAGTTCAAAGAACAAATCAAACCAAAGAAAGAAATTCTCTAATGTCGAAAAGATATGTAATTCTGAAAACATAGCTGTTTTCCTAGAATCTCTCATTCTAAATCACCGTCATTATTGTTCACTTTTCTGTTCTTTTATGTAAACAAAGTTAAACATTTTTTCTTTAGTAAACAGTGTTAACAGATCACTCACATCAAAGCCTACACCTAAGGAAAGATACATTAACAAAAGCAATAAAAAGTTAAATATTGAAAGAAAATATATGTGCTCTTGCATAAAATTCACAACAATATCTGTTAACAGCAAACTTTCAATAGGAAAAATCATTTTAGTCTTCAAAACTGGCTGATCCTGGGTTTTTCTTCATCAGCTTAGAAAATCTCTCATTGAGTGAAAGCTTAGTCTGCGAAGGAGAGAAAAGCTATGACCTCAGAAGGTTAACAATCTTACAAAACACTCATGAAACTTGGTTACTAAAGGTAGACAGGGATGGTTGGAGAAGGCTGTGAGTGATAGGAAGAAAAGTGAACTGAAGAAACTGCATAGAGCTCTTCTCTGTAATCCCAGAAGCAGGAAGTAGTTTGATCTATGGTATATCATTGAGACTACCTCTTGGTTCTTACAGGCTAAATAGTGGCATCAAAAAGCTTTCATTGAAGTCATAGGAAAGAAAGCATACTATTAACCCACAGAGTAAGTGGGTAAGTGCCCATAGTGGAATGAGGATCAGGTTTACTTCTATGAAGTGATTAAATGCCTTAACTATGCCCAGGAATTTGGTAATCTGCCTTGTGAAGATACCCCTATGCCCAAGTGATTTCCAGTTGGTGTTATTAGTCTACAATCAGATATCTCAGAAATCTCCCAAGACTTAATTTCTAGTTTAATCCTTATATAGACTGCCCCTGAACCCAAGTTTCTTTCTCAATCTTCAAGAAATATCCTTTTCAACACCACCCTAAAACCTAAATCAGAAACAAGATTGATACAGCACTGAGGCCTGAGTGGGATATATTCATTACTCTATACTGCATATTTTCCACTTTTAGGCCATATATTTCTATGCAGAAAAAATTCTGAATGTGTGTGGAATAGGGTGTTGTGGTTAGTTAAACCTGTTGCTAACTGAAGGTTAGCAAATTGTTCTTTTGATTTCAATCCCCAATGTGAAAATCATTAAAAATACATTAGTACATTATTTTGCCTTAGTACATAGTCTCATAAACATGGTTGCCTTCTTGGCAAGTGAGAACCATGTTGAGACTGAAGGCCACCACAGATGTAAATATATAGTACATTGAACTAAATCCATGTTTAACTTGAAGTTCATTTTAAAAATAAGTAATTGAGATTGGCTTATTTCATAGACCTCTCTCTGTGTCTTTCACAGGGGCGAAATATAGGGAAGAAGTTTCTTGTGTATTAGGGACTCCAAATAGGCTCTGGTTAACTACATTTTTTTTCTATTCATAAAAGATACCCTTGTATACACCTAAAATAGACATGAATTTTTTTTTTACCATTTCATGAAAAGCATTATCATACAATTTTATTATATTTACCTGATTACCAATTGCTGGGAAGTTGTAATCCAGGTGTATTCCTTTGGGCTGGTGCTGAGAATACTTGGTTGTAGCATATGTAGTTGTTAGGGGTAAACTTTTAATCTCATGCCTCTTGAGTCTGTCAATTAAGCATAATATTTCAGTTAAAATCTATTTGATAGCCATTAATTAGATGAGTAATGTTGAGCCATTCAATTTAACTTCTCTAGGTCTCATTTTCACCAGTTATAAAATTAAGAAGGTATATTCAAGAATCTTCAAGGTTCTTTTCAGTAGTATTAAGATTACAAGTACTGAATCTGGGAGCATGGCATTCAAGAGGATCATATGTAGGCATTAATCTAACCTTTTTCGTATTGTCACTTCAAAACCACTAGATGAGTTTTTCTGCTGTTTAAATGCCAAAGAAGTTTTACTATTATTAAAGTGTGGTCATGCCTATAGGTATTTGGAACAAAAGTAGCCAGTGTCTCCATATATAGAGAAAATGGATTAGTAGTTAGCTTGGTCTGGGGGCTGGGGGTGGGCAAGGGAAGGGAGTAAAGGGGAAGAAACTACAAATGGCTACAAAGTGTTTCTTTTGGAGTTAATGAAAATGTTCTAAAATTAGATTACAGTGATGGTGATACAACTCTGTTAGTATACTAAAAGGGCTTCCCAGGTGGGTGAGAGGTGAAGACTCCACCTGCCAATACATGAAATACAGGAGATGTGGGTTCAGTCCCTCGGTTGGGACTATCCTCTGGAGAAGGAAATGGCAACCCATTCCAGTATTCTTGCCTGGAAAATGCCATGGACAGAGAAGTCTGGAGAGCTGTAGTCCATAGTGTTGCAAAGACTGGGACACAACTAAGCCACTGAGAACACACAAACAATATACTAAAAGCCACTGAATTGTTTATTTAGATGGGTGAACTTTATAGTATGAAAATTAGATCTCAATAGAGTTGTTACCAAACAAAAAAAGAGCTGGAGCATATAGATACATAAGACTTTAATACAAAAAGCAGCATGGCTATTGAAAACTTTCATTCTGCCATGTTGCAGGGATATCCTCTCCTAAATGGTTGCTGCTGGGCCTAGTTTTTGCTGTGTATTATTATAACAGCTGTTGATGTAAATAAACAATACAGAAATGTTTTAAATGGATGGCTGAATAGTTCAAGGAGCAATGTTTGCCACATTTAATGTCTTAGTCTGTTTGGGCTGATGTCCCAAAATTGACAGACTGGCCGGGTTATAAACAACAGAAATTTGTTCCTCACTGTTCTGGATGCTCGGAAATCCAAGATCAAGGTGCCAGCATGGTCATATTCTGATGCATGCCCTCTTCCAGATTGCAGACTGCCAACTTCTAGCTGTGTCCTTACAGAGTGGAGTGGGCAAGGGAGCTTTCTGGGGTCTCTTTTATAAAAGCACTTGTCCCATTGGCTCCACTCTTACAATTTAGTCACCTCCCAAAGGCCCTACCTTCTAACACCATCACATGTGAATTTTGGAGAGACACAAGCATTCAAACCATAGCATATAGTCATATTCTATCAGAGGTAGAGAACAAAAGCCCAAATGCTATATGGTTATCTTGATAGTGTCAGCTAAGTTGCTATAATTTATAACTTGAAATAAGTCAAGTATTTTTTCATTGTTACTTTTTTTTTCTAGTTTTAAATACTGCTCCTACTAGGACCCAACTGGACCAAAAACAATGTTTGACTTGGAAAGAAGAGAGTGCTTTGAGTAATCAAATAACTATTGTTTTCTTAATTAACTTTTAGCCATAATTTCTCTATCATTTTATTTTTTTGATAATATATCATAGAATGTATAAATTTATTTTGGCTTATTAAACAAAATACATTGCATTTTTTATTTTTAAATTTTTATTTATTTATTTATTTTTGGCTGTGCTGGGTCTTGGTTACAACACAGAGGCATTCTCTAGTTGCAGCAAGCTAGGCCTACTCTCTAGTTGCAGTGAGCAAGCTTCTCATCTCAGTGGCTTCTTTTGTTATGGAGCACAGACTCTCAATGACGTGGGTTCAGTAGTTGCAGCTCCCAGGGTCTAGAGCACAGGCCTAGTTCCTCCATAGCATGTGGGATCTTCCCAGATCAGGAATCAAACCCACATCTCCTGCATTAGCAGGTGGATTCTTAACCACTGAGCCACAGGGAAGCCCTGCATTCTTAATTTAAAAAGCAGGTAACTGAGTAATATTCCATGGTGTATATGTACCACAGCTTCCTCATCCATTCGTCTGCTGATGGGCATCTAGGTTGCTTCCATGTCCTGGCTATTATAAACAGTGCTGCGATGAACATTGGGGTGCACGTGTCTCTTTCAGATCTGGTTTCCTTGGTGTGTATGCCCAGAAGTGGGATTGCTGGGTCATATGGCAGTTCTATTTCCAGCTTTT